TTTGCGCTCTCGGCTTTTGACAGTGATTTTGATATTTAACATATTTTAGTAAGGCTTTTTTACCCGTTGGCACACACAGAGTGCTCCCTGCTTTCATTTGTTACCAACAGCCATCTGCGCGGACATTTTAATACCTGGGTTCATTCTAGACCTCCCACCGAAGGGTCTGGTCACATTGGTTAAATTGCTCATTGTTCTAGTTTGAAGCACTGAAACTAGGACAACCAGAACAAGTTATTTTCACTGGGAGTGATTTCATTTAACTATGTGTTGAATAATTGGCCAATTAACTGCCGGTCCACATCCCGTTAGATATTGCTTTCGTTAAAAGCAGACTGTGTTTTTAAAATATAAAATCTGCAAAAAAAGAAATAAAAGCTAAAATCAATAAACTAAGACTGTCTACGAATAGACGTTGAAACAAGTTTCACTTTTAAACCATTTTGCAACGTCTTTTCAACGTCGGGCATAGACTATTTTTAAACGTCTTTTCAACGTTGAAATGCTCGCTGGTTGAAATGTGGTCTAACCGTGAACGTCTTTTCAACGTCAATGAAAAAATGAATAGACTGAAACAACTTTCACTTTTGAACTAATTTGCAACGTCCGGCCATAGACGTCTTTTAAACGTTGTTTCAACGGATAAATTGCCTGCTGGAAACTTTCATGTTACATACTTAGTCACAGTTGTCATGTTAACAGCCCTTAACAAGGACAAACACATTATTGTATTAATTTGGATTTATTATAAATATAACACAATACATTTAACAACACTTTTGCTAATTAAAACAATACAGAAATAAAATATATATTTCAGGAAAATAAACTATGGAATTAAAAGTGCAGAAAAAACATTTCAAGAACAACAAACAAACAAACAAGAACTTCATTTTTAGATTCTGTAACAAGATCTGGGTCTGAGTCACTTGAGTTGGGATAGTATACCTGAAATCAGCTGCATCTCCCTCATCCTCACTTGATGACTCTTTGTGTAAAGGGAGTCAGAGTGCACAGAACACCCCTGAATTTCAGATTTCTCTGATCAACGTGTTTATTCAATTCAAATCATTTTATTTTGTTCAATTCATCTGCAACTTATGGCATTTCTGGAGTAACATTTTCAGGTATATTACACAGTATCATGCTTTAGGAACGCAGTAACTTACAATGTTTTGGCCCTCTTGTTTAAAGACCACAACTTGTTGAATTCAGCCCTTCACCCTTGCAATCTGTATTTAGCCCCCATTGCTTTAAAAACGTATTTTCAACGTGAAATGCAATAATATTTATGGGTACAGCAACCACCTAACGCATTAGCAACACCAAACACACAAAAAATATTCTGTGATGTTTACTTTTGGTCCGGGTCATTATGCTGAATGCTAGCATGCTCCAAGCTAGCATGCTAACTAGCAAACTACCTGCGCTAACGCTAACTAGCTTAAGAAAAAGCACCGTCTTTCCTGTATCGGGTGGGCAGCACAAGTAAAACAACTGGTTATAGTTCCAGGTGTGCTTCATTCAAACACTCACGTACTTACAGAGTATTGGAGCCGGTAGTCGTGGTTCTATCAGCCCGTTCATGTCGCTCTGCTGCGTACAAACTTCACCTCGTGCAGCATTGGGTAGAAGGTCTGCAAAGGTCTGAGAACTCGCGCATGCGCGTTACAGATGTGAGAGGATTTGCGTGTTTACAATTAATGTTTGAAACTGCCCGCATTATTATGTCTTAAAAGCATCTTATTAACAACACGCAGTCCGTAGTTTCATATTTATGACGTGAAATATTAAATACATTGAAATTACATCTAGACCAAATTTCGCCGACCAGTTCATTAATTATTATCAAAATCTTAACGTTAATATCGTCTCTCTTTCAACCTTACGTTACAACATGACATATTTATGAACAAATTGACGTTTGCTGGCACGTTGATGTTTCATCCAATTTTTAGCCGGTTGAAAAGATGTTGAAATGAGGTCTTAGACGTTCAGACCTCATTTCAACCCGATTTCAACCATATTTCAACGTTGAAATTACGTCTTGTGGTCACTGGGAGGTTCTCTAGCATGATGCTAGTAATGCTAACAGTGACTAGCTAACTGTGTTCACTCACCAGCGTCTACGGGATTATGTCAGTTGACACTCTCAACTGGCTGTCTGCATGACTAGTTGGAAAACAGTCTTATTAGTATAATTAAATGTAAGCTATGATAACATTTTGAATGTTTTATAATATTTTGTACCAAAATCCGGGAGCGTCTTTCCTTCACGTCTCACTGGAAGGATAAAAAAAAGGGATTCCTCACTCGTGGGAAGCTCCCTTGAGCGGAATGCAAGCGTGCCCCCCAGAGGCCATAACTGCCACTACTACTGGTATTAGTAGCCCCAACTTCATGAGGGTTACACTTAGGGTTGCCAATTTATGAGTGATTTTGATATGTCCCGTCAGGGACAGCTCCAGTCCCGTATTCCAATCACAGCCAATATTTTTTTAAATATTAAATTTTTTTTTTTTTAGACGACCAATAATAGGCTTCTTTAAACGTGCCTAAAACTCACGCGAACGTTGCTATGGGACACGGTTGTTGCTTGTTGGTGACAGTTTGTTTGAACTGGCCACTGGGAGGTGAGCGTTATCGTGTGTCAAAATGAGAAGTGAACCTTCAAAGAAAAAAATACTTTGCAGCTATAAAAAAGAAGGGAAGCCAAAATGTCATGGGTTAAAGCAGTCGCCAATGACGAAAGGAAAGCGTTTTGCACAGTATGCCGCCGAGAACTATGCGCGCCTGCGCACACCTGGAAAAAAGTGTCCCTCTTAAGGGGTTGAGGAAGTTGGCAACCCTAGTTACACAACCCTCCACATATTTTCAGTATGCTGAAAGGGTTATAGGAGGGAGTCAGGTGATGTCACCTCACATCTCCCACATCCTCGCAGCACATTTTTTGCGAAGGCTGAATTTTGATAAACCGACCGTAAATGTTGCTTAAAACAACTAACTTCTCGTCTGAAAAAGTCTGAAAATTACATTTCATGACGTAAATATGGTAGTATTTATAAACCTGGATCTACACAAGGACGGGCGAGCCTGGACTTAAAAGCATTGTTACGGCCCTGTGTTCCACAGCCGGGCCTTGTCTGTGTGTATGTGCATTTTTTGTTGAGGTTGCTTTGTGTGTGTGTGCATCTCCCTTCTCCCTGATTGGCTGAGGACCTCAGGATCGTTAGTGGCTGCACCTGGCTGGAGCTCAAAAGGCCACAGTCTTCAGGCCCAAGGGGGTCGCTACACATGGGTGATACTGTATGGTCAGACATTTGTTTTGCATTGGGGGTGGATTGACTGTTCTGTGGGTGTTTTAGTTTTTGATATCTGTTTTCATTATTATTACATCCGTTTTTTTTTTACTAACAACCGTGTTCTTCTTGTCCCTTTTCGTCCCAAGGGGAAGGGAGCCGTTGTGGCTAGACTAGAGGCCCATGGGCATACATCACCCACAGTGAGTCTCTGTCTAGGAACACTAGCTTAGACCTGGGCAGACCACCACCTGTATTTTTGGTTAGCATGCCAAAGCTATTTTAGTTTGGTTCTGCCCAGCCGTTCTCCCTGCAATCCCTGTGATTAGAGACTTAATAAAATAATCTATACACGGTAAAATTGTCCTACTTGCACCACGACCCCCACATGCCCCCTGTTAGTGATACACTTGGGTCTTGAGCAGCGGCGTGTCAACGGTCCCCTCCCATCTAGGGAGCTGGTACATAACAGCATATTAAGGAAGGGCGTAAGATTGGCGCTTTTCGCTGTTCAAAACCCGCCCTCTTTGCTTCCGCTGGTGTAACTGAGATGCCTTCCGTATGCTAGTGAATTTCAACCATACATAGTATATATACATTAGTATATAGTAGGCGTAAGAGTGTCTCAGTAGTGTGTATGAGAGTGTCTCGGTAGTTAAGTCCTAAACGGCCCCTCATACTGCTCTTGTGAGGGCCATTCCTCTTTCTTGCATGTTTAAAAAGAGGTGGGAGATCTGCTCTACTGTGTCAGACATTAGCTCACATAGGAATTAATCTTGCTCCATTTTGGTCATTGCCTTGTCATTTTCATCTCTTGTGACATCCACTAAAAAAGCACTGAAGTGGTGATACATGGCCTTGTAGGAATTCCATACAGCTGTCACAGTTCTGAAACTGCTGTCTGCCCATCGGACATCAAGGACCCTCCCGTTCGTTTGCAGATTTTCTTCAAGTTGTTGTGCATGCACCGCCAGTTCCCGGCAGTTTTTTGGTGACCTGTGGTACAATGTGTAAATTGTCTAAAAAAGACTTGAAATGATTGACATTAGTAGTGTGCTTGACTGTGTCTCCAAGAGCCAATTTCCAGCCTGTGGTTTAGACAGTGCCACGCAATGAGATGTGGATACAGGATTTGTAGACGTGCAGCTACCCCTGACTTCCTGCCCAGCATGGCACTGGCTCCATCACTGGCAAACGCAATGAAATTGCCTTGATGAAATGTTCATCCATTCTCCAAGTCTGGAGGCACTGTAGTAAACTCTTATTATTCTCTAATTCTCAGCTGACTGGCTTTCCAGCTCTGCCAAATATTGCTGTGGATACTTCACTTAAAATGGATCTTTTGGGTAAACGCTATTTCCAAAATACCAGAGGTGCGTAAAGGGTGTTTACGTGTGTTTAACCTCCACTACAGCACTGACTGTGTTATTGTGTTTCCTCTCACTCAAGGCCAAAGTGATGTTTGCTTGGTCGTCCGAATGTCAGGGATCTTTTGATGCAGTAAAATCTCTGTAATGCTCTTTTTCCCGTGTTAGCTGCTCCTCGTTTTGATCGAGCATCTAAGTCAGCGTTTTTTAGGCCATGCACCCCTTCTTCATCCCGACTGGGTTCATGCACCCTCATACCCACACACTTAAAAAGAAAAAGTCTATTTATAGCTGCATTCAAATTGGACCAATAACAGAATAGTTCGCTAACGGGTGGTGTTTGTTTACAATATTTATTTTGCTGTTAAATGTTGCATCGTGAACACAGACCGAACAAAGGGGCAACTACAACATTGTATCATATTGATTCCGAATCAGGACAGACAAAAAAACTAAATAAATACCCTGAAACACTGCAAGTTTCAATAAATTCCATTTACGTCACTTTTAAGGAGTAATAAGAAGGACAAGGACACATGCACAGGCTCGGAGGCAGATCACATCATATTCTATTTACAATTAACCATACATGGTGGCAAAATGATTTAATATTAAAAATATAAAGTTACACATCACAACTGATCATAGGAGGTGGGTAGGGGGATTTGAAATGACTTACACCGTAATCCACGTAAAGAACAAATAGCAGCACATGCAGAGTCTCACAAACAGTTACGAATAATAAGGGAGGGATTCCATCTGAGGATTTCACACGCAGCGCAGGGCTCAGGCTGCAGCGAGAGAGACGTTAGCGAGTATTAACTCTCTGTTTCTATCGCCTCGGATTCCTCCTTCTCTCTCTGTCCCTCTCCTCTTTCGCAACTGATAGCTTCAGATGTCCACCGGACAGTTTCCCGATTTCAGCCAAGTCAGCTTAGCCAAAAGTTAGAGCAGTAAACAATTATTGAATAAATTTAAAACGCTCACCTCTTGTATGATTTTAGCAATCACTGAGGCTGATGAAGAGGGCAGATGTTATTCAAGTACTTTTCTGCCTTCATGCTTTGAATAGTTTGTCATTTTTAAATGATTTAATTACATTCTACTGACACGAAACTCTCATCAGAAATGTGCGATGTCTAATGTGAGAAATGTATGAATTATGTTGAGATAACTTAACACATCTGTAGATTATGTTATGTCTTAAAAAAATGAAGGAAAAAAAATCAGCTTTTCCTTGAATAAAAAGGAAAAGAGGCATTGAACTTCACAAAGATTAAAAAACGTGGGCATGCCTCTGAAAATACCTTCTTGAAATGATAAAATCCAACATTTAAAATTTCTATACGAATTTTATGTGAGACTAAGAGGAAGTATATTGAGCGTCCACGTCAGTTGGGGCCTTTCTTAAAGTCTGTATAAAACAGAAGTCCTACAGGGTAAATATTTATCAGGGCACCTAAACATACAGTTTAAAATGAAATGCTTTATTTTCTATATTTGAAAACTCAAGTGCCATGTCAAACTAGAAGAGAGGGTGTCGCGACGGCAACATGAGCAATGTTGTACAAACTGAAGTAGTTTGGAATTAATGAAAGACAGATGCCACCTCATGTGCACAAGATGTCCTCAGACGTACACACGCCACACCGAGGGATATGTGTTATCAGTCGTGACACATGCTGCTTATTTGTTTGTCTCCAGTAATGTGGCGCACAACACTATTCATCAGCCCTCATTTTCCCTGTGGCAAGCAGGTTTGTGTACATGTGCGAGTTGTGTGTGTTAGTGTGTGTCCTGCTGAGGCACCAGTCTGGGTGTTTATTGGTTCCCCGGAGCAAAGGTTCCCAGCCTCATTTAAAGCAGGTTTATTGCGCTTTCTGAGCCGCCGTTGCCAGCGTGTGATTACCTGAACAGACTCATTTGCTGTCCAAAGTTATTCTCCTCATACAAAGCCTTAAGTTAACCATTGCACAAAATATTTTGGTACTTACTTGGCCAATCTGGTTTTGTGAATTGTTGTCATGCCTCTTTGCCTATCGATGCAGTCATTTTCAGTCAGTTTCTTCCTCCTCTTTACAGTGAAGAGCCGCTTTTAATTGCATCGAATTCACAAGAAAAAAACTCCTTCTGTTTTTTAAAAACCTTAAAGAAATGTGAGCAAAATCCAATTTCACCAACTGTCATTTAGTGCACGCTGTTGTGATCAGATGATAAATGTGGCATTAAGTTTGTGTGTGTGTGGGAGGGGGGGGTGGGTGCATGACCCCTGTGAGACATCACCAGTCCAGCCACGCATCTATCCATCACCCGCGCATCATGGATCCGCCACCAACTCCGGGACGCCGATGGAGACACCTTCCGCACCTGTTTCTGTATCCCTCGGCTTGATGCGGAAGCAGGAGAGCGAGGAGAGTCTGGAGTGGAGGCGGCTATGGGCTGAAGTTGTGCTAATGGGGAGAGAGAGTACATTCTCCCACACATCCATTCCCGGTGCTGTCAAGGAGCATCATGGTGGAACGCTGACGATGGGAACCCCAGTCCCTCCCCACCCCAACACCTGCTGCTCCTCCATCTGCTGCAGCACAAAAAGCCTCCCGCTTCTCCTGTTTATGCCCCCATTTATACCTCCATCCATGCACCCCATACATTCATCCATAGAAAAAACAGAAGTTGTGGTCTGCAAAGTCCTTGGCTCCTCTAGAGCTGCAAGCGGCCGACACTGTTATTGTGAAACCCTTCAGCCACTGCTGCAAATCTCTAAAGGCTTTGTCGCAGCTGCTCTGGGATCATACTGGAAGAGTGACACTGAATTCACAAGCAGGAGGTCACACATGGAAGTTACAGATAGTAGAGCTCAGTCAGGCTACACAATGATGCCGAGGGACAGTTGATGAGTGCACAATTTGGACCTCGGAAAACCGTGAAATGCAACCCAGCCACGTTCTTGTCAGGAACAGTATTTGCATCAGCGCTTCCATCTGAGGAAGATGAGAAGGAGACTAGGTGAGCAGAGAGGTGGGTGCTCCCTGATTTATTCTAAAAAGATATCATGCTAAAAATGTCCCCAAGTAATAAGGGGAATGTTTATCCTCCAGGGCAGAAATACCAGGATTAGTGTTTTGTAGGATCATGAAAACATGCACACACATAAAAGCCATCTTTGTGACACCCTTTGTTGGTGATGTTAGTTGCCTGGAGGACTGAAAAAAAACAAAACAAATGGCATTCCTTGTGTTTGCCCTTTGCATCTAAAAGGTGTTGCTCTCTCAGCAGCATAGAACCGGCGTCTTTTCATTACAGGTACAACGAATCCATGATGATTGTACCGCCTCAACTAAATCGGTCCGGTGAGAATCTCGAGGTCTCTTCCGGAGTTCCGGTAACCTCCTGAGAGGTTCACTATAGCGGTCGTCCTCCATTGTGGCCTGAAGACAAGGGTGTAAGACAACCGAGATGGAGCAAAAAGGAGAGAGAGGCTATCAAAAAATATCATTGATATTCACGCAACTGTGTGCGTGTGTGTGAGTGTGGTCCATAACATCTTGTCTAATGAGTGTGATGAGTTTACTTTTATGACCCTGGGTGGTCGTTTTTTGGACCAAAGCGAAGAGTATGAAACCCATGCAGGATTATTTATTTCGCTTAAATATGTCTCATTAAAAAAAGCACATTTAAACATCACACCTTTCAAACAAGCATCTCAGGTTTTACTATCGAAAAAAACCCAATTCCAATTAAACATTAATATCACCCCAATAACGTAAAACAATGTTATTGTGACACACACAATCTCAGCTGTAATAACATACTGTGTGAATGCCGACTCCTGTTATTTAGTTTGCATAAGCTTTGTTAACATTACTGCTGTGTTAATTTATGAGACTATTCAATGTACGTGTGGTGTGTCTGTGGGGGTCATTTTGTCTGGTTGCCCATTGGTTGTCTATTGCGATATGCGATATTATTTCCAACAATGAAAGCAGACTGGAGGGAAGCACGATCGACTAAAATGTTGGTGACGTTCATTTATATGTCAAATGAACATCGCACCACCCAAAATGATCGCACTCATCTCCCTACGCGGTGCGATAAGTCAATATATTGCGAATGGCGACAGGTCTGCTCAGGTCACCTCTCCCGACTGCATCTGTCTTAACTCCTGCTTTGTGGCTTTTTGGAGGGGAAACAGTTGACACCGTTTCCCTGAGGGTAGTCTCAGTGGTTCACGGGTAAGGCTACCGTGGGTTTCACACAGCTCGCAGACACGCATACACACATGCACACACACACACGCATGCATACGCACAGACCTATGCACGCAGAGACACTCCAGAGGAGCGGTGACAGGCAAAGATGCCCTCATTTTGACCTGTGAGCCAACGCGGAGGATGTCTGACAACCTCATTGCCCCCCCCTCGCCCCCCCGCCTTGTATCACGGGAGGATCACTTGGGGACACACATTCGACTGAAAGCTCTGATACACACACACATAGCCATGTATTTGCTGTGTATTTCAATGCTTACACAAACAACAAAGCCTAGTCTAACACCTGCCGCTCTGTGCATTGACTCAACAGTGGCTCGAGCCAAACTCCTAACGCCGGCATGCCACCGTAACATGCTGATAACGACAATTTCAACATGCCGATGATTAGCAGGTAATCTTCACTGTTTTCGTTTAGCATTAAGCGTGCCAAAATGAATGTGCTAAGTGCTAATTATCACCACACAGCACGCTTCATCTCGGCGTGCCATGGATGTTTGTTTTGTCTGAATTGTATATTTATGTTAGACAGTATAACTGTTAATGTACTTTTAGGATATGTCATAGTCATTTGGACAAGAAAGTGGCTACTTCTTGACTCATAGGTCTAGAATTCCTTCCCAATATTGCTTAGTAATTATAGACCCGAGTAATTGCAGCTTAATCATTTATCTTTGTCGTTATGTGAACCTGTTAATCTTGTTTGGTTTGGGGTTTTATCAGAAAGCCTTCAGCTGACATACCCTTGTGATGGAAATCTAAATGTATTCATAGCCGCTGATAAAAGGACGTATGTATACCATTATCAAAACGTCACTGACAAACCCATTCTGCACCTCCGTGGCTCAGGTGTTCTCATTCCTGATGCTGAGCAAGATGAAATCTAATGAATGTTCCCATTATTACAGTGCTGAAGGGCTCGGGGTCAGAAGCAGCAGGTGCCCTGAGGGACTGAAGCCGTGCACAGCAAATGTTTGGGCTCCACTTCTCACAGGATGAGTCAACGGGCCCAGAGTAACCCCCGGACCTTTCTCAAATATCATAGGCCTCTGTGTTTGTGTGTTGAAGGAGGTGAGGCGTGGAAATATTGGAATACAGCATAATCTCACCAACCTCTTCCTCTTCTTAGAGCCTAATGTCGGCTGTATCGGCGAGATTTAGAGATAACGCCACTTGGATCTGTCTGGGAACACTGCAGATACTATGGTGCTCATGAAATGCTTATGTGACCTTGCCCGAGTGTGTGTGTGGTGTGCATGCTGAGCTGATAGTCGCAGGTTGGCATGTGACATGTGGCTTTGTCTTCATTACAACAACATCAGGCTGTGCACCATCCAGCACAATGGCTTCATTTAGCCGGCTGATCTGCTGAGAGCTGCTCTGCAATAACACGGGTCAGGACCTGAGCGGGAGCGAACCGTCACACTGCCGCCGCCCTCTTCTCTGATGAAAGACGCTGTCAACAATCCCCTTTGCTGCCGCGCTAATCTACGTCGCTAATACACCCTGCTCCATCCCTTGCTCTCAACGTTGACTGTTTGCTCTTTTCCAGCCTCGCTCTATTTTCTGCACATAATCGTTCTTTTCTCTGTAATCTTCCTTAACGTACTTTCCCAATGCAGTTCTCGATCCCCTCTTAAAGCTTCTCATTTTCTTCCTTCTTTCCTTTTTGTTCAAATTTTATTCAGCCTCTTTAAGTCTTGTAACTTTTCCTCAAAGTTGCTCATAGCGTGACATCAGATAATATAAAATATTGTCACAATATAGTTCTGTCAATGTCATAAAAATATGATATTATACTATGCCACTAAAAAAATCAAGAAAAACGTTTTCAAATGATTTGACATGAAAAAAAAAGAAAAATTAAAACTCTTAGGTCAAAAAGTGTGCAGAAAAAAAGTCATGGTACATTAGATTGAAAAATATCATGGGAAAAAAAATAAAAAAAACATTAGGTCAAAAAAGGCCATGGAAAAAGCATAAATAATTTATGTAAAAAAATATATTAGGTCAAACAATCTTATGGAAAGGAAATTTTAAATACATCAGGTCAAACATTTTTATGGAAGATGAAGTCAAAATATATTAGGTCGAAAAATGTAATAGAAGAAAAAGCCTAAATATATGAGGTTGAAAATTGGATAAAAGTCCAGATACATACAAGATAAAAGTATGACAAACCATGCTATGATTTCTATGACTTTTTCATGATGATATTCATTACATTTCGAAGATATTGCTATGGCATTATTTCAAAGATTTATCATATATTATGACATGTTTCATGAGCTGCTATTTTATGAGATTTTCACAAAAATATTATTGCATGCTTTACTATGACTTTTTATGAGTTTTTTTATGACACACTATATCATGACATTACATTGCATACTAATCATCCCGAAGCCACAATCAAAGTATCTGGATCCTTTTGTTTTTCTTTATCGGTTTATTCCTCATTCCCATTTCGTCCAGCATCCGCTGCTTGTCTTACATCTCCAGTCGCCTGTGTGGCTTTTTGGCTGCTTCCCCACTATTTTCTTGAGGATGGAGACACAAAAGATAACAAATGAGCTCCTGAAATGGGTTGTAATTACAGCTTCTGGAACTATTAAGTTCTGGACATCAGAGATAATGGTATTCTTGGGAAGCGTAAATCACACCTAATGGTGTCCGAATGACCATGTCTATTACAAACCATAACCAATCATTTCCTAGTTCATAAGAAAGCTTAAGAGAGCCCTGAATATAAGATATTTCATATGCTCTCAATATTCAACAACATTAAACACAACACAGCTGGTAATGACAAAAATATACCTCCTTTAAAGCTTCAGCACCAAGAAGATGTCTTCTCTGCTGGTCTGTATAATGGCCCTCTTCTGGACATCGATCCAGGTCGCATATCTAAAAGTGTGACAAGAAAAGCAGCTTTTCTAGCATGCAAAATAACAGTTACGTAAAAATCATTCCAAGACAATGCAGTTTAATGAAACGTATTTTATGAGTTCACTTCCTGCTTCTGATACTGACATGCAGATACACTATAAGTATAAGTAAAACATCTGAACAGTTCTCCTTGGTAACATCTTAGTACTGTGCTTCATACAAGTCCTTGTTCAAGGCTGTGAAAATACCCCCGGATGGATGAAATGGTTTCACTCCAGATAGTAGCTTTCGTAGACATTCATGACCACGCTTGTGCGGACACACAAACGCACACCCACACACACACATGCACGTACGCACACTGACAGCCTGAAAGATGGGTGAGCTTGAAAGGAGGCTTGGGACTGGGGGGAGGGACGAAAGGAAAAGGAGATTGGAGCAGAAGGCGACCGGTGAGCTACTGAGATATAAACAGGTGAATGATTTTCTGTTCCCTTCCAGATTGTTTCCTCATCTCTCAACCAGACCCGGCCCTCAGAGAGATGAGCTGGGCCGCCAGTCCCTTCCTAAAGCGACGCTGGTAAACTATGTGGCACAGACGTTTTGCTCAACCACTGTCGCTTCTTCTCCGTGCGCCACTGGCCAAGCTGGTAACATGCACAGGCCTCTGAATCGCATTAGCTGTGGGGTTGTTGTTAACTGATACAAGCAGAAGCCCTTCTTCAAGTAGTGCAACCTTTGTGTGCACGGATCCCTCAGGCAGACATGCACATGATTTGGACTGCAAGCGAAAACATGAGTGTCCCGGAGGAACAAACACTCTGACCTTTACAAAGATTCATTTTTTTCCCCCCTCAAAGCGATTTTGTATCTTCTCCATTTTCCATTTCATTTGGCAGGCTGAAAAGTAATAAATAAAGGGGGATTTGAAGAGACATCCAAGAGTGTTTTTTTTTCTCCATTTGTTTAGTAGATCGAATCAGAGTTACTCCATGGACAACAATGCAGCCACTGCATAGAGACCACGACACGTTTCTGATAGAGGGAGTGTACAATATCATGACGTAAATATTTTGTGTGAGATGACAAATTTAAAGTCAAATATTTGAATAAAAGTTTGCTAATGCAACTGCTCACACTTTCACACTCTTCCCAATATGCGTGAGCTCGTGCTTGCTTGCATATGGTAAGCAAATCCTTTAAACCTGGAGGTGTCTAATCTTTTATGTGTTTTACAATTAGAACTCCCCCTCCGGGATTACATCTGCTTAGAGGAAAAAAAGTTGTTTGTTTCCAGGTAAAATTAGAAACTACCAAATACAAGATGTTTAAACAGGGATTTGTGTAGCGAGTGAGGCTCTATTCTGTCCCGTCTACAGTAAAAAGACCAAGTGAACCAACAGGCCAAGACAACAGCCAGCCTTTCACACGGAGCGGCATTGACACCTCTCTGGGCCCGTCTCCAAGCTGCCAGTCCCAACTAGCCAGTCGCCTCCCCTCCATCCATATCATTGACTCGCCACTGACTTCAGCGCACTTTTGCCAAGCCCCTCTGAAATGACGCATTGTGCCTGGGGAGTTATCAGAGAGGACAATATTCTCCTGAAACAGTCCTAAAGTGGACTTCAGAGAAAGGACCTGCCTGCTTTACTTTCTCTCTGCGGTTGCTAGGCTAGTTCCCCACACAGGATCACTGGGGCCTTTATGGGCGGCTGGCACCGACCCAGCCCCCCCCCCCCTTTGCCTCGGACTGTGAGTAGAAGAGAGAGTGGGCGCCGGAGGGAAAAGCCCTCCTCTCACTCAGGGTGGCGTGCTAGGACTTCCAATGTTCCCGTGCCCACCTTCACTCCCACTGGCATTCCCACAAGTGTGTCTGATGGCTGGTTCCTGCGGCCCCGCTCCCGGGCTCTGACCTCAATCCGTCTCGTTAAACCGTAATTGGAAATGAGCCGGCCGTTTACCTCGCCGGATATATATCTGTGAACCCGCCCTCCTCTGGGAAATCGGCACCTGCGTGCTCCCTTTATGAATCAAACGCTGGGATTTCTCACCTACCGCTAAACTCATCTAGGCAGATCTGAGGTTTTCACCGTCGCCGAGGTATATTTCAGAGAGCTCGCCCCAAGGCGCTACTTTACGGCTCAGGAGACAGAGGGGCGAAATGACACTCGCTCCCACACTTTATTCTTTGAGATGATGTATTAGGGTGGGATGCCATACTCTGCACTGCAGCGGTTCGCCATCATTATTCATCGGTATGAATGATTTGTAATCAATGCTTGCTGGTTTGCTGTTCATTTTGGGATAGGAGTCATACTTCTGCTCAATATCTGGCTGTGCTGCATTTCACACGAGGGAGTTTCCCGTTGCCAGAACAAAGGGGGATTCTGGTTACCCTGAAGGCAACACTGGTACCAAAAGGTACAGCAGTATCAGACTTCTGAATGTGAATGCTCGCGGGGTAATCTGTGCTCAAGTGGCTCTGCCTCACCCAGAGCCCACATTAGCATGAATGCAATAAGCTCTCAATGTCCCCAAGTCTCCTCTATAGCAGAGACAAAGACACATGTAGGAACAAACAAGGCGCTACGGTACATACAGTACACAAATACACACCAACGCACCACACTCTCTGACGCTGTCTTTCCCATCCCTTTCAGTCTAATCCAACCTGCAGACACGCCGCCTCCACCAGATCGATGGCAGTGTCCTTGGAAATGAAACCTCAAGGTCGGCTTTCCCTATGTTCCCCTATACCTCTACCTGAGTCATGGTGTCTGTTTGTAACAACTTCTTGGAGTCAACACAATAATCTATCGGTTAACAAAATGCAGAAAAATAATATTAAAAGCAGAAATATAAAACAATGACTCTTTCATCTTGACTCTGAATATCAAAGAAGACACAGCTTTCTATCAGGTTGAAGCACGCTGAGATGAATCTCATACTTGAATAATAATAATCACATTTTCTAAATATACAGCCGTGTTTATCCCCATGGCTGAGTCAAATACATATTTATATGCGCATTCCCGTACATTCATCCACAGTGTAAAATGAATATATATCTAATCCATATTTTGCCTCTATTGTTTTCTAGGCAATACAGAATGCTACTCAGCCCTGAAAATAAGCCACAGTGTGAGCATTATCAAACAGGTTGAGTCAAATAAAGCTACGATTGGTGTGTGAAATTAAATTCATGTTTGATCCCTCAGCACCTTTACCGTCTCAGAGAATATAACATATCTCAGTCCATGTTTTTGGCAGTGGGGGATACTTTGTGTGGGTATGAGGTGGTTGCATATAAAAGGGACTTTTATCATATTTCAGATCTGTTACAATCCTTTGCTATCTGAGCAAGCAAGCTGCAATCTACCAACACTGGGTCACTACACCAACTAATAACATTAAATATTAAAATGTGTCCGGTTAGTAAATTGATCAAAATGTAATGGACAATTTAACTTTCATCAGAACGCAAATGAATGATTGCAAACCGTGATTAATGACCACAACAAAGTCCTTCCTTATTCCAGAAACAAGAGCTTCTTAGCCCTTCTCAAGCCAGTGGCTGACCTATTTAAGTCTCATAATGATGATGAACTTGCCATGCTAATGACCATTTCCCTATTGCATTAGGAAGTACTTCCTCTCACTGTGGCACAATGGCGTTGGGTAACTGCATAAGCCAGCAGCAGTAGTCTGACACAGAATCATCCGCCCACACAGCCCGGCAGGACGGAGCAAGAGGGCCACAACAAATGACTCACTCAGGATCATTTTAAATGTAATGAACTCGCTGTATATTCCGGTCTGCAAACTAGGTTCCCGATTCAACGTGAAAACAAAGACTAGAAATAGATTGCGAAGATAGGAGGATGGTAGATATCTCTTGGGCTGATTATTGTCTCCATTTCCTTATTCTATGTATGCAAACTCCAAAAACTGCCATCATTAAGACAGTAAATGAGTTTTACATCATCTATGTGCCGGATTAGAGATTTTTTGTTTATTAACCATTTCTAATTATGTGCAAGGTGTGTAAGGTAATCTCCCCTGTCCCGCATCCATTAAACCTTGCATTTTAACCCTGTGAGATGTGAGCAATCACTGTGTGAATGAACAATAAATCCCGTTTCAGTGTTGGTGCTGTCTGTGATTCTTGGGTTGTTTCTGATCCACCCGTGAGACACTGTCACCGTCGATCAGTTACTGGTCTCTCGGTTTCTCTGCCATATTGACAGCTGCTCTGAAGTCTCTGCTCATCCTGAGTCCTTCAACGGAGCGGAGCGTCACAGACGTGGACAGTCCCACAACATGGTTCTAAAGTGACGCAGACTGTCAGAGCTAGTGGAGCAGACGAGAGGAGCCGGAAACGGATTAGTCCATTTTGATCTGCTTAGCTGCTACTCAGGGGAATACAGGCAGGCCCACATGAGTAGATGAAGCATACCGGAATACTAAGGAAGGCTTGAAGGAATTGGCTGACGCATTGTAGATACAAGAAATAGACAAGCAAAGAAAACTAAGAAAGGGGATGAGTATGACAGACGGCAGAAACAAGTGACATCGTGATGAGCCCAGCCCAGTTTTGAGTAGAAGCTTGAGATAGGGGAAGGTCACAAGTCTAAAAAGAGATGGTGAACCTGCTTTTAACTGAGGTACCGGCTCGTAACTGAGGTACCGGCTCGTAACTGAGGTACCTGCTCGTAATTGAGGTACCTGCTCGTAATTGAGGTACCTGCTCGTAATTGAGGTACCTGCTCGTAATTGAGGTACCTGCTCGTAATAGAGGTACCTGCTCGTAATAGAGGTACCTGCTTTTAACTGAGAGACCTGCTTTTAACTGAGGTACCTGCTCGTAACTGAGGTACCGGCTTGTAACTGAGGTACCTGCTTTTAACTGAGGTACCTGCTCGTAACTGAGGTACCGGCTTGTAACTGAGGTACCTGCTTGTAACTGAGGTACCGGCTCGTAACTGAGGTACCGGCTTGTAACTGAGGTACCTGCTCGTAACCGATGTAACTGCGGTACCTGTTTTTAACTGGGGTACCTGCTTGTAACTGAGGTACCGGCTCGTAACTGAGGTACCGGCTCGTAACTGAGGTACCGGCTTGTAACTGAGGTACCGGCTTGTAACTGGGGTACCTGCTTGTAACTGGGGTACCTGCTTGTAACCGAGGTACCTGGTGAAACATTTGTTAGGTCTAGTGATTGCCTTGGTGGATAAAGGGTAATTCCGTAGCCAAACCTTTCATCCACAGACTCAACCAAGCGTTTTTATTAACATGCACCCATACAAGCAAGAAGGAAAGCAGAAACTCAGGTTCCCTCTTTTCTTCCTTTATACTAACCATTACTTATCCATTCAATCCCAAATGTTCACTCAGTCTCAGCCCGGACCACTGGGACGGTACTGCAACGCATCTCCCTGACAGGAGCCATCTGCCTGCTTCTCCCTTCCTGTCATTAGTCCATCTATGAGATGTTACCAACACATATCATTGGCTGCAATCTGTCTGTCTGCCTTTGCCGCCAAGCAAACATCTGAACAGCTGAACTCTCTGATGGGTGGAGGGCTGGATATTTTTTCTGCCCGTCTGCCTACTCAGCAACAACTCCCCCTCCTTCTCTTTATTCCGTCCCCAGTTTCAATTTTTTTTTTCTTCTTTCCTTTGTTTCATCTGCAGAGTCGTAATCTCTGATCTTTTTTTTTGTCTCTGTCTTCTCTTGTTTCTATTTCCTTGTTCTCGCTCCACCCCCCCTCTTGGACCTCCTCCTTTCTATTTGCTCATTTATTAGCCTGTTCCTGTGAGGGAGTGAGCGATGTGCGTGTCGCCCGTGGTGGCAGAGGGAGCAGCAGAGCTTGACGTGAACATACGCTGTGAGAGCTCCCATTTATAACTTAGAACTCCAAATGAACAAAACGCCAAATGCAACATGGATGCAATTACCTTCCGGAACTCATTTTCAAAAGGATGAACTAAAGTACTTGCTCTCACAATGTGGAAAAGTCAGAATGGATGCTAATGGCCCATTGGCAAAAGAAAATGATAGGAAATTGAACTTTCACGTTAAAGAGGTTAGTACTTGGACTGTGCAACATGTTCTGCTCTCTGGCTCCAGCTCTGGCAACGTGATGCTGAAGGAGGCACAGCCAGTTTTGCCATCTGCATCTCTAACCTCACGGTTCATGTCAGCAGGCATGTTTGCACCCCGCTCCCTTGCTCCACCATCATTTCTTTGTTACCTCCTCTTGCTTGGTCACATGTGAAAAACTACTCCTGGTAAGGTGGGTTTATAAAATTGTTTTGAAAACCTTTTTCTTCACACATGGTTTCTAAAGGTCTCTTATATTAACTTTACCTTCCCGTTGGCAGTGGGTTATACGGAAGGGAATCTCACGTTAACAAATTTAGAAAAGCAGTTGGTAGAGATTCAAATATAAATCTTTCTGACTGTTTGTCTGTTTGTGATTTCTTTGTATGAGAACTGTTTGTCAGATCTACTTCCCACTTGGTTGGTCTATAGCTTTGGTAGTGCCATTTGGGCAGATGGGGGCGCTATATCAACCTTCTTTAAGTAAATAAAGAAAAATAGCAATATTACAACCATGGCCACTGCACTAGTGCGTAAGCTTGCGAACGTGTGGCTAGAAAAGGGGACAGAGTCCAATTAATCCGCAAGCTTTAGTGATCAACTCGCCATTTGTCAGCTGTGCCTCCATCCACCTCCCCCCAAAATGTAAATGGTAAGGAGGTGTCAGCAGGTTAATTAGCAGGAAGACTATGGTCTGGGGCTTGGAGACGGCGGAGACAAACAGGAGGCGCTCCCTCTCCTTGGCCCCTTCCTCACTGACAGATGCTGCTACCGCCGATGCCGCGACCCCACTCAGCACACTTCTGGAAGGAAAAAAAAAACCAAACAGACATTTGGAGGGACAGGAAGGCAGTGAATAGATGACTAGGGAGATTTTATCTGCTCCTGAAAAGGAATTTGTCTCGCTGTTGTTTATGCCCATAAAGCTCCTCAGTGGTGGAGTGGTGGTCTACGGGGCTACTTGTTTGGTGAGGTACTTTAGTGAGAGTTAGAAAGCCCCCCCACCCACCTCCTTCCCGGGGACCTTCCATTCTGACTGACAGATCTCAAGGTCATTCAGCCAAGAACAACACAACCTGACTGGAGACAATAGAATATTAAGTGGCATGAGTGACGCGTGATGGCTGTAATTTAGTTATATTTAAAGTGACAGTGAGCTATTGTGGAAAAATCAAACCTAAGACAAAAAGGTACAGATCAAATGGTGTCTTTAAGCTGTGCAGTGTAGCGTGGCTTGACCACAACGGTGGTCTATTGTGGGAGGTATGCGGCAGGCGGGTGGAGGTACAGCCCTTTGATAGAGTGGCTTCATTACCTGAAGTGAAGGGCAATCTGGCATCATGTAGAAAGAGAAAGAAGTAAAGAAATAAATGAAAAGAGGGAGAAGGGTACATTAGTATGGAGGGACTTCCTATTGAATACGAGTTTAAAACAAGCCCACTACCCTGAAGATACAACAAGCCATCTTTGATGTCTTTATTGTAAACTGCAAATAAAGTAAATCATTGAGACAAAGGCTCCCTTGGAAGATAACGGGTCTAGAAAGTCCTTAAAAATGCTTTATCTTTTGTGGGGGGCGGGGTCGGCGGTGGGGGGGGCCCCCTCACAAACATGTCAGACTACACTTATTCTACCACGACAGGTCAACTTTTTATCTTTTCATTGATCTCTCTGTCTCGAGCTTCCAATCCGGTAAACAAGATGCTACAGGCATTACCCTCCACGAGTGTAGCGGTTCTGGTTACATTATCATGGGCACACACACACACATATGGAGTGGAAAAAGTAAAGCTATACCTCCATGGATAAAGCTTTGTCGGTGGAGTAATGGGCTTTCCTCATGGCAAGGGACCATAATATCCTCTAAAGGGGTTTAAGCTGCAGACTGGGGAATGAGGAATATGGTGCGGCGTGGGGGATGTGAAATGCAGAGACAGACTGTGAAGCACCCAGGGACTGGATTCGGTTTAGCATCTATGATAAATTGATGTCTTTGTCTTCATTTTCTCCTCGTTGCTGTTATTCTCCTTCCCTGCTCCCTCTGTCCTTGCCTGTGAGAAGGCAGCCCGCTTGGCGTACTCAGCGCCGAGTAATGAGCTTGTCTGTCATTGCTGCTCGGCCACCGGCCACAGTTCATTCCACTGGACGGACAGTGGGACATGGGGGGGGTGGGGTGGTGAGCAGAAAACTAATGGGGATAATCAATGCTACTATATCTGATGACTTCATCCTCTCCCCCTGTTTGCTTTGATTTAACGGTTCATAGTTCCTGAGGTAAATAAAGTGGGTGAGACAGTGAATCAATAGGACTGTAAAGCATGTTGAAGAAAGCGCTGTGGTCAGTTGAAGGGAACACTGGGGATCAGTGCGGACTGAAGGACACAAGGGCAGGCAGCCGTGAGAGAGCGATACGCGAAAGCGTTCTCATCTGAGCCGACCTCACGCTCGGGTGAACGGCCCCAGCGTAGAATTACTTCTCAATCTGAATCAGCGCACGGGCCACTTTTCAGGTCCTCTTTCTACCCGCTCGCTTTTGTGGCTGCAATATTTCTCATTATCGCCGAACAAAAATGCAACTCATCTGCGATCTCATGAGCTACACCGTCCAAATGAAAAGTGGCTGGAATAGACCAAAGTGCATTTAGAGTCACAATCACGACTACACATCCCCTCTTAATTTGCGGCAACAAAGAAGAAAAACATGAATCAATGGATCAGAACAAAAGGAGTCAGCGGAGACAATATGTGATCATAATCTTTTCTGTTGGGCTTTTTAGAGCGCGCTGTGTGTGAGGCCGGATGCTCCTAACAAGGCATGGCATTTAGAAAGAATAATAGGAACCTAGTGTGTTCTCCTCGTGGGCTGGTGCGGCACAATTCCATTAGCCGTCCTCCTCCAGCTGAGAACTCTCTGTCTGTCATTCATCACCAGCTGCAGCACAACGCGGTAACAACGGCGATGGAAATCAAGCCTCCTCCGTGTGTCTCTCCGACTCTCTGAGCCTCCCAAACTTTCTCCATCATAATCAACCTCTAATTCCTGCAGTATTCCATTCCATGAGCGAATAACGGATGGTAAATAACGTCCTTTCATGACAAGCTGCTTCCTCTTGGTTCTACAATTTACAAAGAGGAAGGGCTGAATGGCAACACCGGTGGCAGCGCCTCCACTTCAATCCACTGAAACTGTCACAACTTTTGCCGCGAAAGTTATCATTTCAAATGGCTATTCTAGGAGAGAGCGACCTTCACACAGGATCTCTCTCTCTGTGAGGGCAGTGTGTAAAGCACCTTTTCCCCTCTGCGCCACGCCGAGCTGCTTTGTGTCTCCATGAAAAAGAACACGCAACAGAGTGTAACTCAGTGATGGAGTTTCCACACGCAGAGCTTCTGTAAAATACTCTTTGAACACTTGCAGCTGCTCCTCTCTCTCTCTCCGTCTCTCTCTCCCCGTCTCGCTCTTTTGCTGTGTGTGTTTCTTATTATTTCCTTCTCGCTCTGTGACTCTCACCTTATTTTTCTATCTAGGAATTCCTCTCTTTCCCATTTGCTCCTCCTGCCTTTCCTGGGTCTCCGTTTGCCGTTTGAGTGACAGATTTGGTTTGGGGTTCTGACGCTGAAAGCGCCGGTTCTATTTCACGGGTTTCACTCTGATCCAGTTGGGGTCGTGACTCTGACAGCCGGAGTGTGATCTGATCCTGGTCTCCACCATGGTTACGTTCTGTCTGCGCGCCTGGAGGTCACGTATTCCAGCGTTGCTCCCAGCAGATGTCAAACACAAAGACAGGTTCTGCAGACGCACAGCGGACAGCCAACTTAATAAAAGTCACTGTGGGGAAAAAGAGCGTCACAAACGCACACATGTGTACACGTTCTTAATCGCCAAGTTGAAAGAAATCGACAATATTCTCCGGCCGCCGTGCGCTTGTTAAGTGTAAAAAAATGTGTGTGCGTGCACGAGAATATACCTCACCGGCTCTCTTGTGGGCCACTGGATGGCCATAAACACAAGGACACGTTAAATAACAGTCTCAATGTGAGGGGGGGGGGAGCCTGGTCCCAGAGAGGCCGTGCGTCCATGTGCGTGCAATGGGGAGGAGAGCCTTTGGGGGGCCGGGGGGGCAGAGCGGCCCCTGGCAGCTCGGAGGGAGAGACGGTCCAAACGGTCCTTTTGGCCCATTGTTAGGCGGGATAATCCAAAATCTGGCAACCAGCAGCAGCGCCGTGTGGTCCTGTCAAAACACAGAGGAAGAAGATGGAGCGAAGACCGGAGTAGAGTATCCTGGCTACGGCGGATGCCTGAGAAACATCACAACTGCAGGACATAAGACTGTGTGGCGGATAACTGGAAAATGAACCGCTGAATGTTTTTTATATATCAGTGAGAACTACATGCTCATATTTATGCGTATTCATATATACAAAGATGTTTGTGTAGGCGTTTGCAAGGATGGTTTCAAAGAAAAATGTGCATTTTAGTTTGTGTGTGTGTGCGCAGGGTGGAATTCCGGTAAATAAAGATTGCCGGGTGAAATTGCTCCGACAAGCACCGACTGAATCCGCCTCTAAGTGAGTGCGAAGGACAGTGCGATATGCAGCGAGAGAGACGAGATTGTACCACATTTCCGCAACCTCGGGGAATGTCCACTGCTCCAGCTCGTGAACACAACAAGGAAAAAAAAAACAACAACGCGTGACCTACATGCATAACAACCCTAAATCCTCCCATTCAAGTGGCTGATGTGAGCTGACAGTGCTGGAATAGGTGGCAGGAAAACCAGAAGGGACGATAACTCTTCAACCCATGTCAGGTCACGTGTTACTTCCTCCACGTGTCACAGGGAAACAGGGAAGAGGTGAGTCACCAGAGCTGGCGGTTGATGCATAGCGTGTCCTAAAGTGTGCCCCCCTTGTACCCCTGTGTTTGTGCGTGCTTGTGCTCAAGCCAGCCGCAGAGTGTCTCTGATGGCTTTCAGACGCATATGTTTGTTCTCCACTAGGCTCAATATAAATGATCCAGCCAAGCGGCGCTCTCATCGCTCACGGGCTGAGCTCCTGTACCATTACTCAGCCCCGATCGTCCGGATCACCTCGCCACTCCCAGCGAGAGACGGCAGGGGGACAAATGAGCGGAGATAAACAACCAAACAGCCAAATTTAAAGTGGAGCGACGAGAGCGGGAGGAGCGGGGAAAGGGGGAGGAGCGAAGATACGACGAATGGGGGAGATGAGAGAGCGATGGAATGTAAATCATTTACCTGGAGAACCGTACTGTTTATTCTCCCGTTTGTCTCGGGAGAAAATAACTAATTGATCTGTCCATTGTGTGATTACCTCTCATCACGGCTTGATTGACTGGCTGTCACATGCACTCACTCTCTCCGAGTGCTCCAACGCCCAGTGCATCCGTCACTATCACACCGCACGCGGCGTGTACGGGCGCGTGCGCCCAAACGCAGCGGCCCTGACAGGCACCTATCACACCGCAGCTTCACTACGCTCCCCCCTGGGGACGCCGGGAGGGGAGGCAGATATAGAAGTGGGGGGGGTTTGACAAATGACGACGCCATTGTTTGGATGGGAAATGTCAAGACTGGGAGCGTCCCGGGCCTGCCGACACATTGTGGGGTACGGGATGTAAGGGATGTCACGGCGGAGGAGGAAGGGGAGGGGGGGTGTTCCAGAGACAAACGCCGGGACGTGGCGGATACACTTGAAGGCCGGTCATCGAGCGTTCATGACTGACATTGCTCCTTTGTGAAGGCCCTCAGTCCAGGTTGCTGATATCTGACCTTGAACCAACAGTAGTTGGACAAGTTTCCTCGACTATGAAAGGACAAAGGAACACGTCTTGCTTCGTGAGCGCCGCATTAGGCAGTCGGCACAGCTCCGGCTGAGAAATGGGTTTGACCCCGGCGGCGGTCTGAGGTGAGCCTCCGTGCGCCGGGGTCAGCTGAGCCGAGGTTGTGTGCTGACGGAGGCGGTCAGACTAGCCTGAGAAAAGAGCCAAATGGAAGAAAGGAATAAGGGAGGGGGAAAAAAATCCTCCTATAACAGCTGAATGTGGGGGGGGGTCAAGAGGCGTATTTCATAACCCTCTGTGGACGCTCAGGGAATTAGAAATTTTCGCCACCAGAATCAAAATGTGTATTACTCCTCTATCTTTATAGCATCAATCACCTGTATTTATTTTTTATATAAATGCACATTGAGATATATGTTATTATGGATGCAGAAAACAGCTGATAGTCAGTATGTCATTTACGCTCGATGACTGTTGACATTGGGAACGCGAGCCTCTCGTTTCTGACGTATCGCATGGTGAGTGCTCCAGTGTTCATGGAGGCAGAATGAGTCCAGCCGCCTGTCGGGGTAACTGCAGGGTCAGAGGTCACGTTGCGATACGGATGGCGGAAGGAGAGCCGCTCCGGGCAGCAGTCTCATGGCTCGCAACTCTTTGTGGGCGAAGGACGGGGCACGCCGACTGACTTGTTTTCTTATTAGTTGCCCCCCCCGCTGCCTACGTGACTGTTATCGTCCCGGCTTTTTCAGTCTGGATGGGGCCCCAGTGGATAGAGGGGATGCAAATCATCCAACCGCGTGTACACGGAGGCCGACCCCTTGAGGAGAGGCAGAAGATGCAAACCGAAACTGACCCGATCTGAGGGGTCAATTCTTACTCGTCATAATCTGCTTTCGCATCCCAGAAGTTCCAACCGTTGACGTTTCCCTGTAGTTGCTGCAGTGTAAAATCAACATGTTACTCTTGTGTGAAATACTGGTATTTATAGTGAATGGAAATAAAACCCATTTCGACAATAGCTACAAAGCTATTGACTCTTTGTGTCCTGATTGACATGGAAACCTGTCTGCATTCCTCTCCCAGGAAATAACTAAACAAAAGCAAAGAAAAGGGTTCAGTTTAAGAGACTCCGCATACAGCGCACACATCTGGCATCTGTTTCCTTTTGCAACTTTGCCAAAACTTTTTCAAGGATAGTGAGGAGACTGGGACTGATGTGTTCGAGCTCCATTGGACTTCTGCAACAGGAAGGAAGAGGGAAACAGATAAAGGATGTGAACGCGCAGACACACAAAGCTGTTCAATGGCAATTACCGCGCCGTGCCTGGCACAGCTGACAGCGTGAGGGGAGCTCGCCCAACGTGTTTTATTCTTGCAAAACAAAAGACAAAAGACACGAGCAACATGTACAAGACCCCAACTGCCAAAGCAGCCCACAAACTGTAGCCTATTGATGGAAACAAGCCCGAGCTGATGACCCCGTACATGGACGCTATGACCTCTCATTAACCCCCGACATTTTCCCAGGAAGGGTTGACAGCGAGTCAAATAGAGACATTAACATTCCTTCTTGCTCGTCTCCCAAAGTCAAATCTTTCATCCCTACCTCGATCAAGCCAGCAACGCGACACGCCGTCCTCTTGGACAACAACCTGGCATTCCTTTCACTTCAACGCCATTCCAGTCCCCCGAAGCGCTTCTTCGCATCTCCACCAGCAGCTGGCAAACGGTGAACTGTGAGTCCCCTCGCTGCTTGTCTTTGCCCCCCGTCCAAAACACCCCACCGTCACAACCACCACCTCCGCCGCTTTTGTCACGGTGTCCCGCCACACCGGGATTGCAGGAAGCGACGAGGGGATCGGGGGGGAGCCGCGGTGTGGGCTGTGTCTCTCCGACGCCGCTACTAATGAGCTGTAATCTGGAGCAGCAGGAGGCGATGCCTCCTCAAAGAAATTGCCGTTGCTCGGTACATTTGTTCTCTAATGGCGGAGGCGGCGGCAGAGCATAGGTGCTCATTGCGGAGAACAAAGGGGAGCAGAGGGAGAAGGTGTTAGAAACAACTTTCGTGGGAGATCAGGAGCTTCCTGTGATGTGCATCCGTGAGACTCAAAGCAGGATGGCGGAAGTTGTAAAAAAAAAGTTCAAAAGTGGCTTCTCTATTTGTCAAACGGGTGGGTCCAGGGAGCAATGGGTGGGCCATTGTTTCTCTTTTCCTGTGCGCATTTTCCGACAAACTAGCTCTTGTTTCATAAAAAGATTCACCTACTCTGTCGGACTTCAGCCCAGCAGACCCCTCGCCGTCCCACCCCCCCACCATGTGTGTCCTTGTGTTTCATCACCCACAGGGGGTCGGTCTCCGACTTTTGCCATCCGGCTCGGATCTTATCACAGAGGGAAACAATGGAAATGGGAAACAAAGCTGAGAGGTTTGCAATTCATTTAAAAATAAAAATACTTCTATATTAACCATGTTATTTATCCACAGCCATTAAAACATCACACCACCTGTTTTAGAAACAAAAGGTCTGCCGAGAAGGAACGCTTTCATTTCCATTCAAACCTACCTCGGTGTCACAGGGGTACCAAAGAAAAAATGCTTCGAAGGAGAAAGATGAAACGAGGAGAAGGCAAAGAGGGAGGCTGAGCTGTATCTTCCACCTCAGGGTAGCCTGCTAAAAGCTATCTGTTCCCCTGGTGACCGAGCACAGCACACTTTCTGAGGTTGGAGAACTGAAGCTTAAGCTTGTGCACACACACACACACACACACACACACACACACACACACATATACACACATATACACACTGCTCCCTTGCCCTCATCCGTCTTTTCACCATCCATTTTTCCCCTCCTCTTTCAATCATTTCCCATACAGTAGCTTTGCACGGCCCCTTCACCCTGCCTGTCAACACTTCATTAGCGAGCATCTGTTAGTAAGTCATTTCATATCTCTGCTGTAGAAAAATGGGGCCTCCTTCCCTCTCTCCAGTCTGCTCATCAAATGGGGGAAATAAGCCAGACCAGCCTCAGCCCCTTTTATTACATGTCAGCATCTCTGCCTTTCTTTTTTTTTGTCTGGGGAAGAGCTTATACCCCAGGCCAGAAAGGGATGCAGCAGCAGGGGGGGGGGGGGGGGGGGAAATGGAAGATTAATCAATTGGGAGAGGAAAAGGAGGGAGCTCTGGGTATCTCATCCCTCAAACCACAGGTGTTTCTTTAATACCTTGCTTTGTTGGAGGTGATGAGGAAATGAGCGGGGTGTATTTTTTTCTCTCTGCTTTTTACTCTTTGTCTTCCCTCCAGGACTCCAGCAAATTCTCTAGATTTCTCTCCATTTGAGACCAAGCCAATTTCATCCACACTTTGCAACATATGGCGAAGCCCCCCCCCACCCCCAATATGCCTGTCGCCGCGCGCACAAAGGCCACTTCCTTAATATATTCTAGCTATTACAGGATTCATCAAAAATTAAAGCCGCAGTCGAAGGAAGGCTGCAGGGCAACACCAAACTCCTGAAGCGGGATTCACGCTTCAGATACAAGATGGAGATGAAAATCTGGTGTGTTTTATCATATTCATACAGAAGCACACGTCCACATATGGTGGGAGGAAGCTCGGTTGCCCTGTTTGTAGCCGACAGGCTGTTATGTGTGACTCACTTTGTTCATATTCAACATGCCGAGCTGCTGCCACCCGCCCTCCTTTTCTTTCTCATCTCACTTGATGATGAATTCGAGTAATAAAGGAGATACATTAGCAGAAGATTGTCTTTTTTTCATTTAACTGGGAGACAGAGATATATTGATCATGTGGTGAGACATCACAATCCGTCTTGAATTTCGACCGGTTATACATCAGCTGTGATGTACAACCCTGGATGTGGAAATATGTATTCTTCTTCTTTAGCATAACATCAGATATTAGACCTTTTTATGACCCTCATACAGATTTACTATGCAAGCTGTTTTCCACCAGGAATCCCTGGATTTCATGAGAAAAGCATCCTAACCGTGCACCACGCAGATTTACTGTTGCTTCGCTTCATATCCAATGCTCTCAGAAACCTGGCATCACGTCCTCCTTTTTGTCAGGGGATAGCTGTGCTTATAAATCCTGCTGACGGATCTTTGATACTTATTCCCCCTGCAACACAGGTGAGTCCCTCAGCAGCATCTTATGCATCCTCTCTGGTGCCCAATGCAATTTGCATTATAGCACGGTGTCTTTTTATTCCGGGTTATAGTATAAAGACCAGACTAAAAACAGACCAGTTTGAGAGGTAATCTGGACCACAGAAAAAGAAAGAAGGCGATTATGTGGGGAAACGGTGGGGTATCATGTGGGATCTTCAGCGGCAGGGGAGCACCTGCGCACAACTGACCTGCTGTATGTGTCTGTTAAATCCCCCCCCCCCCTCTCCACCACCCCCAGGTACCAGCGAAGCGTGTGTTTATGTGAGTGCATACGGCGTGAAAGCGCGGTGTTAGAATCTTGTTGACTGAGTCTGCACACCTGTCTGCATTTGCAGGACAAGGAGATCGGTTTGTGTGCACTTGTGACAGAGTGTGTGTGTGTGTGTGTGTGTGTGTGTGTCCAGAGGTTTCCAGACTGGGAGGAATAGACATACACAGGTCAAGCCTGAAGGCAGCTAGGGGGATGTGGGCACCAGGCTGTGACCACCAACAGTTTTTGGAGGGCTTTACTGCATCGTTCCCTTTCCTTTTCATCCCTTTCCTCGACATCGTCCCCCTGTTCGGTGCGAGCGAGGACACAGATGGTCTCAGTCTATCTGCCATGTCTGTCCGGCAGCAGGAACATTTCCCCGTTAACTGTTCTTGGCTCAACAGGCGGTCCTATACTTCCTACACTGCATGCTGGCAGTAAATAGGTAGTTCAAAATACTTACATGACACATATTGAACACTCGCGAGTCCGTACGAAAAATCAACATTTTGATTAAGTGCTTATTAGATCTCTACAACGGTCAAAGTCATTGATGTGAGCAGCTTATTGGTGTGAACGAAAAAGGCATGAAGTCTTAGTTGAGAGCCGTCCCGCACGTGTCCGAATTTCACGGCCTGCCACAGATCCACGGTGTCAAGAGACAGGCGGCGGCGCCCAGAGCGGCGGCAGACACACACGCACACACACAAGCAGACGGACAAAGAGGGACTTGATCGTTGTCGATGTGTGGAAACACATCGACAAAAAAAACTTTTTTTTTCAAACCATTAAACCCAATTATATCGTAAGTCACCATTACCTAAACAGGACAACTTCCGTTTGTCCTCCAAGAGAACTAAGCCGGATTTATCTATGTGTAAAATCTGCTCTGCTCTCATCCAAAGCACATTGTTTTGAACCTTTGCAAGCTCCCGCTTTTCCATAGCTGGGGGGAGCGGAGGAAACCACATTTTTGGATGGAATCCATTTTGTCTGTCAGCTAAAGGAGGACATGTTCCTCACTTATCAATGGGAAGGCATTTGTGAGGGAGACAGTAGCCGTCCTAGATCTCAAGGCATCATGTGTTTATTTTTGTGTTTGCGTAACTATAATATTTACACACGTGCACGGAAGTCAACTTTTTATTTATGTGACAAGATCTCTGTCCGGCCGCCTTACGTAGAGAAATACATCTACTGAACCATCCTTTGTTTCTGGCTGAACATAAGGGGAGTTGATTTAAATGAGTTCCTAAATGATATATAAAGCAGTAAATCTTCATGCATGGAGAGCTGCGGAAACCACACAAGGACTGCCAGGTGAAAATAAAAGGGGGGGGTGGAGGGACAATGTTATTTACGGTGACGATGACACTCTTTTTTCCAGTCCAGGGGAAACGATGGGCGAGCTCCAAGTACACACAGCAGGTAATGAGGAGACGTCTGCAGGGAGAACTTTCCATTCACCAGTTAATTGTAAAACTGTGACACACTTTTGTACGCGTGTAAAAAAAACACACACACATTCACAAAGCAGCACCGAACACAACGATTCACAGCATTAAAAGCTTGCTTTATTATTAGGGAAATGCGAATATTTGTAATGAGAAATTCTGGCAACATCTGAGCCGTAAGAAGCCTTTGCAATAAACACTCGGCCAACGCGTCACCGGCTACATGCTGAGCGGCTGCAAAGCGAGGCAGATAGGTGTCATAGATCATATTCATGCCCCACATCTTGAAAGCCATATCAATATTCCACGTCCATCCAAGTGTCTGGCCATGAGAGATGATTGATGCCTTTCTGCGGCCGTGGTTGGAAACAGAGCCCGGGGAGACGCGGGGGCGGCGTTGAGTGAGCACGCCTGCCTGTACAACACAGAACTCCATTTACCCACAACACAAGCACAAGACGGATCACTCCGCCGGCCCCGGCGTTAACCACGGTGTACGCGCACGTGTGTGTCGCCGTTGATGGATTCGCCGGGAACACGCAGGTGGGGGATTCGCCGACGCCTGGGTGATTCTGTGGACAACATTTGAAATGTGGATTGATAATGTATTCGTTTTGGTCGGGGCTGCAGATATTACTGCTCCCTAATGGCACTTTAGACGATTGTTAATGTTTAGTATTCTGAAGTCAGCCCACCAGATTAATTATTCACAAAAAAAAACATTACATACATATGATCCATTTCAGGGTTCCTCTATGCAAAATGGAAAAAGCGAGGCTGTGGATTTATAATTACAATCATTTGTTTTTGATGGTTGCAGCGTGTCAGCACACAAAGTATACAATATTAATGCATGGAGGAACAATTCAATCATCGTGTTGGAGGTGGGATATTGCAAAAGTATACAGTCATTGACTTTATATAATATAATATTAGTGAAGGTATTACTTAACTATCCTTCACTACAGATCTATTTCATCAGTCAGAGACTAAAAAACCCGACCAGCTTTCCAGTGGACCTGTATGCGTGTTTTGAACACATTTGGATGCATCTGTGAGAGTCACAAATATAAAACATTTATAAAGTGGCGTCAGTGAAGACATATGGCAGGTAATTTACAATGCAGCATGCGTAATACTCAATTTATTTTAAAGAGGCATTACTCTTTTCGCATTGCACCTGTAAAACTTGTAGCTTTGCCCTAAAAGAAAAGATATGTGATATGTATCATCTGCATTTTTGTTTTCATTTATTTACATCTTC